TAGACAAGTGGGACAACATTGAACTAAAAAGCTTCCATACAGCAAAGGAAATCATCAATAGAATGAAAAAGCAACTTAAGAATGGTAGAAAAAATGTAGCCCATATATCTGATAAGAAGTTAATATCCAAAATATATAAGGAACACCTATAACTCAATTGAAAACAAAATCAAATAAAAGGGACTTTTATTTATTGGGTTGTGCAGCTCAGTGGTTGGGTGTTTGCCTAGCATGTGTGAGGCACTGGGTTCGATTCTCAGCCCCACATATAAATAAATAAAATAAAGGTCTGTTGACAACTAAAAAATATTTTTAAAAATCAAGTAAAAAATAAACTGATTAAAACATGAGCGAAGAATTTGAATAAAAATTGATCCAAAGACAATATACAAATGGATATCAGGTAGAGGAAAAGATGGTCAACTTTATTACTCACCAGGGAAATGCAAATCAAAACCAAAATGAAATATCACCTTATATTTTATAGGTGGCTATTATCAATTAAAAAAAAGATAGTGGCAAGGATGCAGAGAATTTGACACCTGGATGTGGAGAATTCAATACACTCATGGTACGAATGTAAACCATTACAGCCATTACCGAAAACTGAAGTTTCCAAAAAAAATTTTTTTAAACTATCATGTGACTCATCAATCCCACTTCCATTGCATGTTTTTGCATAGAAATCAGTTGTATCTCAATAAAGGTGTTTAAAAAATAAAATAAAAGCACCAAAGAAAGTTTTCCTCAAAGAACCTCAATCCTCTAGTTTATTTCTATAATAGTATCTTGTATATAGGGACACCCACATTTTCATTAACCTGGCAAATTGATGCATGTTTCACAAATACCCATATTTTCTATGAATAAAGGCTTGGGCCAGTAATTTGGGTTTTTTCATGTACTTTCTGCCTTTGTTAATATAAAAAGTAAAGTTCTTTTTAGCTTTTTAATTTATTTTTCCTAAGGAAAGTCATCTAATAAGGATTTTACTAGTTTTTTAATTTGAAATAAATTTAAATCCAGGCTTAGGCCTATTAGTATATTAACTTACCTTCAGTTCTGAAATGATAAAACAATAAAAATACAGATATTGTTCATAATCAAGAAAACAAATAGTACATATCTTGTTTTTCAAGTTCACAGGCTGTCTGCTTCAGCAAAGTGTCTACATACTGCAAGTTTTCTTTCCTCAAATTTTGTAGCATTCTTTCATTACCTTGTTGCTAACTCCTCTCCTCATTCCATGCATTTGTAATTCTACTTTACACAAGTGTGTTATAGAATTAATTCTTTTTTTAATATTTATTTTGAGTTGTAGTTGGATACAATATCTTTAATTAAATTTTTATTATTATTTATTTTTATGTGGTGCTGAGGATTGAACCCAGTGCCTTGTCCATGCTAGGCAAGCACTCTACCTCTAAGCCACAACCCCAGTCCTAGATTTAATTCTTATCTCAGTTTCTCACCATCTTTCTTAATTTTTTCTCTGTGAACACCCTTTTGCTTTTGGAAGTGCTAACCTTTATTATTATTATTATTATTATTATTCAACTCAATGAAAAATATAGGGACTAAGCATTAGATGGAAATGTTGCATTTTAAAGGTCAAGTAAATAGAAATCTGGAGATTAGAGAGCTCTACTTCACTTATACTAAAACCAGAGATGAAAATATGGGAACCGTATGAAATTTTCTTTCTTTTCTGTATCCCACATCTATTATCCTATTTGCCTGAGGGCCTCTGTGGTAGTAGTGGGAACAGGGAGAAAGGAGAAAGGAAGGGAAGAAGAAAGCAAGAGTTGAATAAAATTAAAAATTGCAAAAATGCATATAGCTATCATTTAATGGGAAATATAAGCACCTAAGAGACATACAAGATTGAAATAGGAGAGGGAAGAGTAGGGTTTTTTGTATCAAAGAAACAAACTGAATCTGAATCTGAAGTTTCAGTATTCTAAATTAACCTACCTATAGTTCTTCAGGGGTATATTTACACCTAGTCGTCATTTTCAGTGATACACTCATTGCATGTCCCTATGTGTGAAGCTGATTTGGGGCACAATCCCTCCTCTCTCTCCCCTACCTCTGGCCTCTCTTTCTCCAATCTGAAGATACACAGCACATTCAACTGAACTCTGGTTTTCCAAAAATGTTTTAGTACTCCCAGCCACCCCTTTCTTCTTTCTGGTCTCAAATCAATTCTTATTCCCAGATTGTGCAAGTAGGTAGTTGGTTGGCCTGGTTACCCTATTAAAATAATCAGATAAAAATTAGTAAAAAATTTTGTTCAAAAGGTGTATTTTAAAGGAGGAGGTTGTTAATTCTAGTAAGTCTATGTGCATTCTCTGGTTCTTGTATAAGTGACTTTTCATCAATGCCCAGGAAAAAAACCCTACCCCCAAAACAATTAAAACACAACCATTTAAGTGGAAAATGTATATAGGAATTATTTTTGAAATGAGGTACATAGGACAGTTCCTGCTCTAGTTAGAGGAACTTTCATTTACTACTCCCATCAATCCAGAAATCTGATCAGCCTTTTCCCATTTCTCCCCTCACTTTCACAAATAACATACTTTGCAGTAGAATAAGGTATTATTTGGGGAGAGTGAAGAGCAGAAGCACACTGAGCAGTGGCAGGCCTACAATCCAGTCAGTCTTGCACTAACAAAATAAAAGAAAGAGGAAGGGATGAGAAGATACATAACACATATTAACTTTCACTAAAAATTAAAACTAAAGAAAAGTAAGAACAATACAGTGAATGACCATATAAACTTTAGTAATACTCATCAAGTCAACATTTCAAATTTGTCTTACCTATCTTTGCTCAACCATTTGAGAGTAAGTTGCACATATCACAAACTTTTATCCCTAAATATTTTAGTAGTATTTCTTAATAAGGGCACCCTTTTTCATTATATAGTACAATTATGAAATTCAAAAAGCTTAAAATTGAGACAATACTTTTGCCTAATATTCAAATTCAAATCCATATTCAAATTTCACCAATCATCCTTTTTTTTTTTTAAATATTTATTTTTCAAGTATCGGCGGACACAACATCTTTGTTTGTGGTGCTGAGGATCGAACCCGGGCGTCACGCATGCCAGGCGAGCACGCTACCACTTGAGCCACATCCCCAGCCCAACTAATCATCCTTTATAACATGTTTTTCTAGGATCACACATTGCCATAACTGGCATGTCTCTTTAATCCCTTAAATCTAGAACTGTTCCTCAGCCCTTTGTCTTTCACGACACTAACATTGTTTAAGAGTACAGGTCAGGTATCGGGTAGAATGTTTCTCAACGTACATTTTTCTGATTTTCGCTTTGTGATAGATTCATAATATACATTTTGTTTCCAGAGATATTGAATATGAAATACGTCTTCAATGCCTCACATCAGGAAGCACATCATGTTATTTTATTCATTAATAGTGACATCAACTTGCATCACTTGGTTAGGGTGGCAGCTGTCAGCTTTATTCACTGTAAAGGTGCCTTTGCTAACCCTTTCTAACAATAAGCAATCCAAAGATGAGATTGTGTACATATCATTTTCCCCAGATTGTCCCACCCAATGATTTTAACACCATTTAACAGATTTGTCTGAATCAATTATTACCATAATAGTTGCAAAATGGTGATTTTGTAGTTTCACCATTTCTTCCACATGCATTTGTTTGGCATGCCACTGTCAAGAACTGTAATTTCTCCCCCCTTACATATTTATTTAAAATAGATTGTATTTTATTTATTATATTATTATATTTATGTATTTAAAAGTTAAAGTGAAAATATGGGTTCTTTTAAAAATTCAATGTTTTATAATCCATATCTATCATTATTCTTTTTTGATACTTAAATTGCCTCTGATTTGGTAAGTGGGGGTAACTTCAAGCTGTCTTCTTTTGTCTTTTGACATATCCTTGACATATACAAGAAATCTCCTTGCTTTCTGGTACAAAATCTTTTAAGAGCACTTTATACTTTCCCTGTCTCTTCCTTCAAATGAGCCAATCTGCTAAGGAGTCTGACTCCTTTTAGTGGAGAATGGTATTCACAAACCAAGATCTGGAGGCACATAATATATTTCAAAATATTAAAATTTTGCTGTTCCTGTTTTACCATATGAAAGACTGGTGTGATAATTCATAATCCTAGCATTACCTGTATGACCTTGGCAATTCCCTTCATTCCTTGCTGCCTCCCTCGTCATCAAACGGAACTGGATTAAAAACACATTTCTTAATCTTTTCAGGGTCACTCACAGTTTGGGAATCCGATAAAAGCTATGATCCCCTTTCCCCAGGGACACACTCAAATAAGCAAAACTTTGCCTACAATTTCAGGGCGTTCCAGCTTCCAAAGGCCACTGGAGCTTCCAAATGCCTGGGTTAAGAATCTCTAGGGTCTGTCTCTTCAATTCTGTGAGTCTATATGCTGTCAGAATGAGTCCTCAGCGACACCAAAATGTGGAAGGACGTTTATAGCAACAACATGAGAAAAGGACACAAAGAAAGAAGCCTGTGAGCAACGCGTTACTCAGCCACAGTTCTTTGCTGAAGCCAAATTTAGGGAGCACTCTACTCATAGGTGAGAGGTTTTGGCGGGAAGGTCCGCAGGTGGGTGGAGAACGCCGGGGCAGAGCAGCAGCCCACAGGCCAGATGCAGGTCGATGCACACCTCCGAACGGCCCACCAGGGCTCGCTCTTGCCCTACGGCTGGAAGGCCGGGAAACCGGGCGGGCCGGGCGGCGACCCCGCCCCTGGCAGCAGCGAGACGGAGAAAGAGCGGAGGGCGCCGAAGCCCGGAAGGACAGCGCCGGCCAGGTCCGCGCCCCTCCCCGCGCGCGGTCCCACCCTTTCTCCCTCGCGCCGCCTACGTCGGCGGTGCTCCGGTCGCCATGGTGACCAATCGAGGCCCGGTCCCGCCCCCGCCCCCTGCCCCGGCCCCCTGACGTCGGCGCACGTCAGCGGCGGCGCGCGCCTGGCTGGGCCCTGCGGAGCGGGAGGGAAGGAGCGAAGGAGCGATCGGAGCGGCCGTCGCCCGAGGCGAGCCGCGCAGCCGGTCCGCCCGCCCGCTCGCGCTCCAGTCGCCGTGTCTAGCAGCGGGGCCCAGCATGGTCATGGCGGATGGCCCGAGGCACTTGCAGCGCGGGCCGGTCCGGGTGGGGTTCTACGACATCGAGGGCACGCTGGGCAAGGGCAACTTCGCGGTGGTAAAGCTGGGGCGGCACCGGATCACCAAGACGGAGGTGCGGCCCGGGGCTCGGCGGGAGCGTCCGAAGAGAGGGTTCGGGAGAGAAGCTGTTTACTGAAAGGGCAGGCTGCAGTGGTGCGACCGGGAACACCAGAGAGGCCGCGCCACTTGCTTAGGCGAGCGGGCCTGGGACCGTGAGGACCCAGAGGTGCTGGGGGTCGGTGAGCAGCGAAGGGACCCGGGCCCGGTCACCCAGACCCGAGTGCCGTCCGTAGGGAGCCCGGTCCCCCCGGGCTTTGCCTTCCCCTACGCCACCCCCGGTGGCCCACGGAATTTCTCCCAGAGCCTCCCACCCGGGCCGTGACCTGGTCTGTGGCCTCGGCTCCGGAGCCCAAGTTCCGCGTCTTCCCCGCTTTCGACTGGGGGTGGGGTGGGAGGGGAAGTCTCGGTGCTCCCGGGCTGCGCGGTGAGAGATGTGGCCAGCCCGTGGAGGGGACCTCCTGCGCTCGGGCTCCGCGCACGGGGATCGCGCGGCCCCCGACCCTGGCTTTCCTCCTGCCCAGCTAGGAAGGGGCCTCCGTGTCCGGGAATGCCCTGGCGGCCACTGTCCTTCTTTCCCTCCTTTTGCCTTGCAAGGTCTCTGATTTGGTGTCTGGCTAGCTGGATCTCTTGCCTGAGGCATTTCCATCTAATACTCCAGACAAAAGAACTGGTTAAAATGGTCATCTCGATATTTGTACAGTTGGTGGGTTGGTTTTACTTGTGTAGGGTTTTCCCTTTACCAGGTGTGCACTCTGTCTGTAAAAATGAATTCCTTAAACCACATCAGAATGCCTCTCTACTCCTAAAGCCCTCAACTGCTTCCTGACGGCGAATCCAGCACACCCCCCCCCCCTCCGTTGCACATTCTAATGCACCGCACATATTTTCTCACAAGTCTCTGTTCTTACCTAACCCGCCCCCCTTCCTTCCACTGCTTCAAGCTGCTCTCCTCAGGGTCTCTATTTTAAGATGTGCAAATTAAATATCTTGGGGGGAAAAAGAAACAAAACCATTCTGTAGAATAAAGCCTAGTGGTTTTGACGTACACTATTCTGCCTCGTTGTAATTGTCACTGGAGTTTCACCGTTTTTCAGTTTTCCCCATAGTTTCATCCTGTTCCTTCCCTCCCCCGCCCTTGTTAGTACTAATGCACTAGACTTTGAGGACTTTGAATTTAGAATAAAGTAGTACTTTTATTTTTTTCTAGGATGACTTACGTAAGGCGAAGGGCATTTGAAAAGTTGAATGATTTTCGTAGTAGTAGTATTTAAAAGTTTTGCTTAGTGTCCATTTTTAAAAAGAAGGGGAATATATCATGTCATCTTCACTTTTTGCCCTCTACTGATCCTAAAGCAACCCAAATCTGAATTATTTGAGGCATTAGGACCAAGGTCATAAATTTTTCTTGCACAAATTTGGCGGTGTTTCCAGTTTTAGCGATTTAGACTGAGATGTAATGATAATATGACTATAATGACATTACTAAATCTTTGCATAGTGTAATCTGATCCCAGTATTTTTTTTTTTTTAATGAAGAAAGTGGTTCATTCCACTAAAGAGCCATGGCTGAATGTCATGCCATTTTCCTTTAAGTTACATAAAAAGGAAAACACTTAAAACGTGTATTTCATATGAGCCCTTGTTTAATGATTATCTAAAAATCAAACATATTGCACAGAATCTCTAAGTATAGAGATTCTGTAACACTTTTGAGCTGTATTATTACATGACTGAATATCAGTCCCATGGTTCATAATATTTTTTCAACAGCTCTTTATTAGTATTACTAGTAAATTTTACTTATGTTATTTTGTCAGGTCAAATTTAGTTAATATAACATCTGTTTAAGAACTCTATTAGTGGAAGTGATGGTAACTGATACTTTCTCTTGAGGTTGACAGTTCCAATGGTGTCTCTTTCAAGCTGATACAGCTTAATGAGCTAGGGGGCACTGTGGAGTAATGTCATCCTTCGGCTATCAGATAGCTTGAGATCAAATGCATTTGTAATTGAAGTCACCAGTCAAATCATGAAAGAGCACTCAGATCCTAAATTGTGTATTATATATTTTTGAAAAATAAGTTGTGTTAAATGCTAAATTGCTGGTTTGCAGATCCCATCCCCCTTGTGCTTCTTAAAAGAAATTATCATTAATTAAAATTAAAAAAGAAATAATGTGAACATCACTAAGTATGAGTATGAGCTTTTGTGGTAATTTGGTGTGATTGAAGATGTTAAGATAGAGATGGATGAAGAAAATGGCCTGGCAATTGCTGAACAAAAGTTTTGGGAGATCTTAAAATATGTAAAGTGGATCTGTGAACTTTCACACATAATTTGCTTTAAGAATTGTTTAGCAAGAACACAAATACAGTGGTTTCGTAAAGTATACTATTTGTTGCCAATGAGTTTTTTTTTTTAAATCAGTAATTGTTACCTTCATTGGATAAATATTTGCATCTTTGATAAATACAACTACCTTAAAACTACATTGGGCTGGGGATGTACCTCAGTGGGGAAGTGTTTGCTTAGTAAAGCCTAAGGCCCTGGGTTCTCTACCTAGCACCACAAAAACAAACATCACCACCACCAACAACAAAAAACCCTAATGTTTCATATGCTTTAACATCAATGTAAATTTATGTGTTTTAAAACTCAAAGATCAGCCAGGTGCAGTGGCACACGCCTGTAATCCCAGCAGCTTGGGAGGCTGGGCCAGGAAGATCACAAGTTCAAAGCCAGCCTCAGCAATGGCGAGGCACTAAGTAACTCAGTGAGACCTTGTCTCTAAATAAAAATGCAAAATAGGGCTGGGGATGTGGGGATGTGGCTCAGTGGTCCAGTGCCCCTGAGTTCAATCCCCGGTACCCCTCCCCACCCCACCCCACCCCCAAAAAAAACCTCAGAGATATTTTTTTCCCAAGTTTGCTCATGGAGAAAATTTTAGGGCTTAGCTTAAACATCTGTGTGATGAACAATTGAATTCTTTTATTTTTAATTGATTCTTCTCCATCTCTTTATCTGTATCACTCAAAAATGATAAATTTTCTGCAGAGTTTGGGAGATCCAAATCTGTTTCCCTTTCAGGGAAAAAAATTAGTGGAAAAAAGAGATCTTCATTTTGTCTAATCTATCAAACAGCTTAACATTGTTTAAGAAATATATTTACATCATCTCAAGCGATATATGTATGTTAGATCTCTATAAATTTTGCATTCAGAATGGAAGGCAGCTGGTGGTAGAATCTAACTTCCTAATATAATACTTCATAAAAGCTTGTAGTACTGGTTTGTGGCTTATGAATTAGAGAAGCTAATTTTATAAAATTAGTGTAATGGGAAAAGGATGATAGCATTTAGGCTATTAAACTATTTTAGGAAATAGCAGTTGCTAGTTTTCTAGTCTGTGAGTATCCTTGAGTAATGTTTTATTTTATGAATAAAATACTAGGAAACAACCTTTTCCTTCTAATTAACTGTGTAGTTTTTTTGTCTCTTAAGCAAAATTATGAAAAAGCCCTTTTGTGCCCCTTTTGTTGTTTTCCAGTGGTTAAAAAATGTTTCGCTATAGAAAATGCTAAGAATAAAGAGGCATATAGTACAAAAAATATATAATTTTTCCACCAGTGGGAATAAACCATTCGTAACATTATGTCACATTTCCATCTAGTCTATTTAAATGTGTTTTTCCATAGATGAAAGTTCATGATACACATATATAAGTTACATTATTTTTTTCCATTTAACACTAATGCTGAAGCATTTTGCTTATTGTGTATAACTTTATAACAACATTTATAATAGTTGGATAGTGTTCTGCCTTGTAAATGAATCCCCTTTTTTTCCCCTACTTTTTCAATTGGTGCATTACAGTTATACATGCTGATGGGAGTTGTTGTAATTCATGCATGCACAGGATGAACCCCATTTTACTTAAAGTTTCCATTATTGTTGAATATTATTATTTTCAGTTTTCACTTATAGTAAGTAATTGGTAAAGAACATTTTTGTGTCTGTATTTACAATTTTTTTTTTTAGGAAGAAGGAATTGCTGGTAAATTCCTAGAAGGGAAATTCCTAAGTGAGAAGGTATTACTTTTACATTAAAGAGCTGCATATTTTTATTACCAAATCTATTATGTTTACTATTGAGAAATTTAGAGGTTTAGATAAATGAAAATAGTTACTTATAATATCACAACTCAGGGATAACTATCATTAGTTATTTTCATCTCTTTCCTATGATAGATAACTGAGTTTTCCTCAACACGGTACCTCTTGTGTTCTTACATAAATAGCATGTAGATGTGTGGTCTAAGGAATCTTAATAGATTTTTCACAGAGGTTCTAAAAATTACCTTATTAAAATGGCATGTAGGTGTTAGGCTACTTACTTATCCTTAAGAGAACCTGGAATGCAGAACTAAAATCAAGGACATTCTGAAAACTGCTTTTGTTCACTGAAAAGCTGTCCATGTGCATTTTGGGACTTTCATATTTAGGTTTAATTCTTAAACTACTACCTTAAAATCTAGGATTTTTTAAAGTTTTCCAAACAGTTAAAGTTCAAAATTGTCTTTCATAGCAAGGACAGAAACAAGAAAAGGGGATATTATACCATGACTATAATATTTATTGAAGAGAACTTATTTTTTTAATGTGTTTGGACTATATTTACTATTTTTTGCTTTCAAATTTTAAAACTCATTTCAGTAGTCTTGGTATCAATCTTGCACGCACTGGAAAATATTCCAAATTTCAAGAAGCAGTGGTACTATGTGTAATCAAAGGACTTGTTATCAAATAACCACTAATATTTGTATTTAGGCCTATGTATGACCTTAATTGTGTTCAAACAAATTGTATTTGTCAGATAATATACATGTGCTTTATTAGAAACATTTTCTCATCTCTTGGCATCACAGACAAAAAAACAATTGGTAAATTATCCTACTAAATATTGTTCAAAATTATCTTGTTATTTTTCGGGAAGGAGAAAAATGTTCAAAATAAG